TCTAGATCAGGGGTGTCAAACTCATTTCACATTGTGGGCCACATACGGACTCGGTAGATGTCAAGTGGGCCGGACCATTAAAATGATACAATACTTTGCTATAAATAACCAAAACAATATGTCTTTCTTTTGTTTTGGTATAAAGAAGCACAAGAACATTAGGAAAATGTTGAAATTTAATGAACATATCTTTTACAAAACATTTCATGAAGCACCTTACATTTCCTTCGACAAATGTGCAATTTACTTTTATCATTCACATATATGCATTGCAACTGATCCCACTGATTGTACAAACTTTAACAAGTAATTGGTATTGAAAAATATAGTAATGCACTTTAAGATTAAACAAGATTCATAAAGAAAGCAAGTTTTAAAGCATTTACACGTGCATATAAAATCTAAATGTAATCCCTGCCTGCACTTTACAAACTAAGGAGAGTGCTATTAAATGTGTAAATGTGAGAGTGCTATTGATAGCGTCTGCTGTCATGGGTCTGTCTCAGTGACAGACTGAGGCTGCTGTTGTCTTCTTCTCTGATCAAAACAGTGTCCCCTTGCGGATACTCAATGAATTGCACCTGATTAAAAATATTAATTCTGTGTCTTTAATGCATTTTTTTCACTTTTACATTATCCTGCGGGCCTGATTGAACCTACTTGCGGGCCGGTTCCGGCCCGCGGGCCGTATGTTTGACACCCCTGAAATACAGTATACAGTTTATACTAGGGCTGCAACTAGCGGTTATTTTAGTAATCAATTAATTGATGAATCGGATAAAAAAATATAACATGTTTCAACTTAAACACACTTTTACACGGCACTGTAGCTTGACGACACAGTTGACGAAAAAGGGTTAGCCAGAATGTCACATTGTTCCCTTTAATGCCATACTAAAAGCCCTGCAGCTTTATCAGTGGGCCACATAACATTTACAGAAGGAAGTCCGCCCACTGTTGTGCATTTCAAAGCCCCAGCAGTAGACCGACTAAAAAGTCAGTCGTGAGACAATACATCAGAAGAGGGGACGCAAGCAGCAACAAAGGCAGAGTTACGCTCATTGAAAAGTTCCCTGTGGTCGTTCCTTCAGAGGCCCACTTTGTGTCTTGCCTAATCAGAATTCAACAGCAGTACGTTAATACAAAGTCTAAGAGAGAATTAGTCATGTACATTTCAGGAAGAAGGACAAATGGAGACTTGTTATAATGAGGAGGAAGTCAATGATGAGATGAGAAGTCTTATGAGGAAAAGATTATATTATCAACCCACACAATGCTCGGTAGGCAAGATCCTACCTGCTTGATCGCTGTCACTGTAATCACAAAACATAAGGGTAGGCCGCTGGTGACTGGACTGGTGGGGGTGTCCACTATCACCTAGTGAAAAAAAAATAAAACCAGTAAGATCGAAAGTGTACTACATTTGTAACCTTCACACTGCAAAGATAACGGCTTGCTTTGAATCAGCACAGTGCGGAGTTGATCAGCGGCAGATGCGTGTTGGTGAGAGAAATGAGTGAGGAAGTGGTTTGGTGGGGCAGGCCTTCTTCCAGTAAATGCAGGGTGTAGTCTGTGTCTTGGCCACGGGACTATTACTCCCCTGAATCGTGGATCAGTCAGAAACACTGGAGGAACGGATGTTTTGTACAAACTGGCTTATTCTGTCGGCCCAAAACATTGTCAGACTTGCATTACCAGTTTCATGTCTGTGTGCACAAAAGCTGAAGCATGAGAGTTTTATGGTGGAGTTTTAGAATTTGAAGCAGTAATCGGTTAATCCCAAACAGCCCGCTGCCGAGCACCACCTGACCAAAGCTTGCTGCTAAAACCACCCAACTGGCCTTCTATAACAATCATGAGATTTACACTGGAATTTATGATCTGGTCTCTCTCACTAATCCACAACACAATCACCTGTAAAAGCAAGACTAATAGTGGGGTACAAACAACCACACAGATTTTTAAAATGTGACACACGTGAGATGCACCAGCACAGGATTTCCACATATGACCTTGTGCTGTAGTAACAAGACTGACCTGTGAGAGGCAGTGTGGTGCCACAGGGCAACCAGATAGCCGGTTTAAAAAAAAAAAAAAAAAAAAAAAAAACGATGAGAAATACAAGCAAGCAGGTTAGGTGGTTAGGTGTTATCTTGTCTGCCATCTACAACATAGATGAAAACTCATTATACCGGTGTAACATTTACAATTTGTCCACCCCACGGGTTTCTTAGCAGATAGGAGACCAACATTTCCTCTTAAAGCACCCAGGCAGCAGAATAGTCTTTAGAGATGATCATCAGATGATCAGGCTTTTGTTGACTTTGACTGGAAATGGGAGCGGGTGGGGAAATTCAGTGTTCCCACATGAGCAGGACTGCAACTGAAAACATAAGTACCTAAAAACATCTTTCCCCAAATGAATGGAAATGCTACTAATCTATTCCAGAGCCCCCCCTCCCCCGGCAATAAAATGCCATTGCGTTTTTAATAAGAAAAGAAGCACTCTATAATATTATACTTCATAAAACCATAACTGTATTGACATAAACAGTATGTACTGAAAAACTGTGCCATATTTTTGGGCTTCGCTTCCATGGACATTGTGCTGGTCATTCTGCTGTACCCCCAATGGCCACCTGGGGGCAGTACAACATTAACACTCAACACTGACTGCCTACATGTGTTGCTGCACTATTTGTGGTCAAATATGTTTGAAAGGTTGTAAGGGGAGGAAATGCGCTATTCAAATAAAGCTGCCTTGCCTCACTTCACCTTATAACAATATGACATCGATGCAGTTTGTTCTCCTCTTTATGCCGTTTTTCATTGTTTGCATGGACTAAAATGACTTCCCCTAAGGCAAAGCCACATGGTTGTTTTAATGACACAGGATGTTATTCTTTGTATTGTTTGCCAGTAATCTTCAACTGGGAGTGGCAATAAATATCTTGAAGCCTCTTTTTTGATGAACTATTCATGTTTTGGTGCTTGTAAAATGAGAGGAGTTCAGTGCTACAAGAGAGCATTCCTATCTCAAATTTTGCACTCAAAGAAAAAAAATAAAATAAAAATTTGGTCCGAACTACAGTTAGTATGTCCAAAGGTCAGGTCATTCCTATCACATGGCACCAATGTATAAACTATTTTAGTTTGGAGTCTAAAGAACAACAAAGCATCGAGATATATATATATATATATATATATATATAAATAA